TCAGTCTATGAAAATATTCTTACCTACTTGTCATTTTTAAGAAAAATAGCAATTTTTGATTTAAAAATACAGCAGAAATATCATACGCTATCTTTTGCGTAAAATCTGATGGGGGAAAAATCACATAATAATGAAAAGATGTACTTCTGGGCTGGGGGGACACAAACATATATATGCATGAATTATTTAAATTTATATACATTGAAAACCACGTCGTCACTTCATTATATGCAGACGTGCTTATTATCAAAAATCCACAGAAATTTAAAATCTGTACATAGATGGCTTCCGAGAGAGCCTAGGATTCTGGCTTTTATATGATGATTTCTTGCTTTAGAAGTTTAGTCTATAATTGATCTTTACGAATCTATTAACAATTTTATTTCCAACAGGCATAAACATATTTTTGGATGGCTACGTTCCAACAGAAAACTTGAGATTTAGAGATGCATCACTTGTTTTTAAAGTTGCCGAGACAGCAAATGAAGAAGAAGTTAAAAAGATGTGTATGTATAAATATCCAGGGATGAAGAAAAAAATGGGAGAGTTTGAGCTAGCAATTGTAGCTGGAGAATTTACAGATTCTGAAATCATGGTAATGCTGGGGGAAAATGGTAAGTCAAATTTTCCTTATTTTGTGATATGTAAAAAAGTCTTTTCTGTTTATCAAGCAAATTAATTCTGATTGTTCCATGGAAAGCTGAATCAGTTATAGGGCTTCCATGTGGCTTTTGAATCCATAAATTTCTCAGTATAGCTTCACATTTTTGTGTTATTATATAATTTCACTGTCACTCAATCAAGTGATTATTTCTTACTTTGTTTCATAACCTCCAGTGAAAAATCAGATGTTTTTTCTCAGCTGGTTTTTCTGTATGTCAGTTAATAAGGTAGTAATCTCGTAAACTGGCTAGGAAGGAAAGGATAAATTGGTAATTCGGAAACAGTCTGGTTTAAACAAATTTTCCTTGTACACCTCCATTTGGAACTTTTCTTATTTTAAATTTGGGGCAATCTATCTTTGTAAGTAGTTGTATTACTAACATTTTTAATATTAAATTATCATAAGTACAGTTATAAGATGAATTAAACTACTAAATATATGGTCTTGTTTTCATGATTTGAAAAAATTATTTGAATTGTTAATCTTACAGCTTACAAAACTGTAGAAGAAAAATGGTTGCAATGTATCAGTCTTTAGTTAGCAGGAATTTTTAATTGGGTTGCAATTTATTTCATGTAAATAAACTTTAAAATGATGGTATCTATTTATAAAACAACCTATACTATCTTAATACATTGTGTGCATTGATAATGTAGCTAAATTAGTCATTTAAAACTATCCTAAGACTTAAACTTTATAGATGTACAGTTTATTAAAGTGGTCATTATAAGCTTTGACTAGTCTTTATTCCTCCTAATTAGCTTAGAATGATACTTGAGAAGGGAATTATGAAAAATTAAGTATTTTTCTATATAAGCTTTATAATTCAGTAGTGTCAGTGCATAGCTTTCAAATAAATTCTTCAGTTAAAACCAAGTAGGGGACATAGTGATTTCCTCTAAATGTGAAGCATCTTTCGAGGCAATTTGTTGTGTGTTCTGTTGCCAGGTACGGGTAAAACAACATTTATCAGAATGCTTGCTGGAAGACTTAAACCGGATGAAGGAGGTACAGTTGTAAATGTAGAGTCTTTTTACTCTGTTCCCATAGTAAAGTTTAAAGATCTGGGCGGTTTTTAGTGTCTTATGTATTTGCATTATTTTGCAGGAGAAGTGCCAGTTCTAAATGTCAGTTATAAGCCACAGAAAATTAGTCCCAAGTCAACTGTGAGTTGTTATTCTTTTATATACTTATTAAAGAAAACTTTATATATATGTCTATAGCTTTAATCTTTTACTGTAGTAAAATTTTTCTCCAAATTAGATTCTGTACAGTTTTATTGAAAATTACTAACAAAGGTATTAAGACTATAGTCCTTGATTCATTTCTACTACTAAGAAAATGCTTTTAAAATCTGGTGTCTTTTTGCAGAATAAACCTTTTAAAACCTAATGTATTTCGTGCTACAAATGACATCAAGGAAGTGAAAAGGCCACCCACAAGATGGGAGAAAACATGTGCACTTGTATCCAGAATATATAAAGAACTTTTATAACTCAATGTGAATGAGCAAATGTCCTTTCCCCAAAAAAGGACATTTTTCCAGATATACAAATGGCCAGTAAGCACATGAAAAGATGCTCAGCATCATTAGTCATTAGGGAAATGGAAATCAAAACCACAGTGGAACACCACGTTATACTACTAGGATGACTAAGTTCAAAAATACAATGACAAGTATTGGTGAGGATGTAAAGAAATTGGAATCTCATACATTGCTAGCGGTAATGTAAAATGGTAGAACCACGTGGAAAAATCTATCAGTTACAGAAACAATT